GCCGAGGTCGACGTGGTGGGCGAGTGCCATCAGGGACACTTCAGCGAGCTCCATGTGATGGTCGAAGATCGTGTAACTCAGCACGCACGACTTGCTTTTACCGAGAGGCATCCGGCTTCAGAATATGATGGTAGCTAGCTCGTTACACCAAATTTTCATGCGATTCTTTCTTCTGATTGTGCAGTGACGACTGATATTTGCACCGATCTCGTCCTCAGTCTAGCGCGGTACCCAGGTGTAAATACATTAACCAACTACAAGCGGGCTCACGATTGGAAATAAGGAAAAGTGACTGCTACCCCCCTGGGCGCACCCCGCCCAAATAAGTATGCTTTACACTTTACTTTCAGTTGTCGGTTACCCCCACCTCCTCTCGCGCCTCCAAGACACTCTCATTACCCTCTTCTTGCTCATCGGCGTCGCAACAACGAAGTCTCCGTCACTCATCTCCATCGTCTTCGCTTAGCTCATCTTCTTCGTCGTCAGCCTCGTAATCCCTTTCTTCCGCCTCCGCTATTCTCCTCTCGTCCACATCTTCTTCTGGGATGTACCACTGGTCATGCTCTTCATGCGAATCATCCCCTTTCTCCAGGCCGTCCCACTCGACGAGTCCGAAGGTCTTCCGGAGGACTTCAATATCTGTGGCGACGATATTGATTCCCCCGCTTATGGTAAGTGCTATCTTGTGCTTGGGACAACCCGAGCGCTGAAATGCCTGAAGAAGTCGCCCACGTCCAGGATCGTTCTCCATGGGTCTCGGGACCAGACCGATTCTAAGTGGAGTGTTTCCAGCTTCGGAAACAACGGATCCGTCGGTTCGCCTGACCCACCGATGGCATAGAGACCTGTAGGCAGGGTCGAGGTATACCTCCCGGCGATATCCGGTTCTGCTTTCTGATCGTACAGGTGACGACTAATATTTTCTGTTCACGTTCTAGCGCGGTACCCAGATATAAAATACAATTTCCAACTACAGGAGGACCCACGATTGTAGAAAAGAAAAATTGGCCGCTACCCCCTTGGCGCGCCCACGCATAAAGACGTGCTATGCTCGGCCTTCAGTTCTCGCTTGCCCCAACCTCCTCTCGCGCTTCGGATGCACTGTCATTGACCCCTTCCTCGCTAACGGCGTCGCATTGAAGCTCTCTTCGTTCCCCTCCGTGGATTTCGCCGAACTCCTCTTCCTCGTCATCAGCCTCATAGTTGGGTTCTTCCGCCTCCTCTTGCCTCCTCTCCTCCACATCCTCTTCCGGAGAAATGTACCACTGTTCGATATCGTCATGGGAGGCATCCTTCGCCTCCACACCATCCCACTTGACGATATTGAAGATATGCCGGAGGACGTCAACGTCTCCGGCTAAGATGTTGATTCCTCCGGTTATAGTAAGTTCTTTTGGTAGATCTGGGCAATCCAGACACTGATAGGGCTTAACGAAGCGATCGACGAAGTCGACCACCCCAAAGATCTGCCTCCAAGAATCGCGGAACCACACTGATTCCAGGTGCAGTGTTTGCAGCTTCGGAAACAGCGGCTCCGTCGGCTCGCCCGACCCATCAACGGTATAGAGGCCGGCAGGGAGAGTTGACGTATACCTACCGGAGACGCATAGGTCGGTCACGCCTGGCATGAGACTGAAGAGCTGTCGCCAAGCCACGACAGATTGCTCCACATATGCCCGACCGTCTTCTATGGTCAAGTGTTTGACCGCCGGCAGATATTGTTGCAGTCGTGGGCGCAATGCGTCCAGGATCCGGGCCTCTTCATCGCAGTCGTAGCTTTCGAACACAAGACAGAGCCCAGTGGTCTGCGATTGCCACGTCGCGGTGCTCGGATCCTGAGCCAGCATACAATAGAGGCTCGTGGGGTTCGGGTTATACATGGTGCAGCCGCGGAGCACCTGGGTCGAGCCGATCCCGTCGATAACGCCCTGCATGCACTCTATGATCTGCTCCAGCACATAGTCGAAGTCAAGGACTTGCACGCAGGCATACTCTAGCTGCGGCATGACCATGTAGCGCAGCAGTTTCGCGTCGCGGAGGCCATAGAGATCGATGGATAGGGTCCGCAGGGAGGGGAGTGGTACCTTGTCGAGTTGGATCACAACTCCAGGGTTGATCGGGATAGGTCCGAGATCCAGACTGAGCTTAAGGTCCGTAAGCTTGGGTAGACCACGTAAGACCTGCCGTATATCCAACGTCGTCATAGCCGTTCTGACAGCAGTGATATGCAGTTCAGTCAACGTCGGCGTGAAGAGCATCCTGAAGTCATTCAGGCTGTCGAGGCCACTAAGCCGTAGACGCCGCAAGACGGGGGACGTGAAAGAAGTCAGGTTCGCCGCACCGAAAGCACCCGTGACGCTGATTTGCAGCTCCTCCAGGATGGGCGATGTACCATTTACCTGTCCGACGACGCTACCCAAAACCGTGGACGAGACCGAAATACAGAGGGACCGAAGCCGGGAGCGGACGCCCATCACCATGCCTAGTTTCTCCTTGTTGTCTTTGCTGCGATCCTCGACGTCGTTGCCACCGTCGTTGTCGTCAAGCGATCCGGCGATTGTCAATGTGGCATTGCGGGAGCGAGCGATGAGGTCCTTCAGACTGTCGACCGTTGAATGAATAT